TCCTTCCTTCCTTCCTTCCTTCCTTTCTTTCTTTCTTTCTTTCTTTCTTTCTTTCTTTCTTTCTTTCTTTCTTTCTTTCTTTCTTTCTTTCTTTCTCCATATCTACAGTGACTATACAGCCTTTATTATAAGGGACAGTCCTTTATTTCAGAAAGCTATCCTTTAGATTTATTTATTTTTCAAAATACAAACAGTACCACTTAATGCACAGTCTTTTACATTCATGTGAAAAATATGGAAGTTGAATTGTCTTTTAAAAATAAATTTACATATATGGTTTGATTTTAGATATTTTTACTAGAATGTGCATTTTTGTTACATTTTGCCTGGTTTTGCTCTCGAATTTTCCTTGCAAACCAAAGTTATAAACAATTATATTTTTTTATCCTTATGAATCTCTTTTAGCTTTGCCCCCTTTTCAGGTTTGTGTATTATTTGTTCCCAAAAAATTTGGTCGCCATAACCATATCCCACTTTGGAGCATTTTAAATGAATTTCTTTGGGGTCTGATGAATTGTCATAATAATTTCCAGGAGCACATGTGTCCTGAGTATGCATACAAAATTGGGTATAAGACAAAGTTTCTGTTCTATAGCACATATATTTATTATACTGATGGCCAGGATGACCTTGAGCACAGACCATGTCATCTACATGGATTATGCTAGTATATGTGTGTAAAATGCAACTAACTAACATACAAGGTAGTGTGTTTTAGGGGTGTAAAAACAAATATAGGATGAGGTAGCCCTCTTCCCATTCCCTCCAGTTACAGGGCTGCTATACAGTCATAATAAGGTAGTGGAATGTTTACAGCATTGGCTGAAGATAAGGATAATTATAAGCCACTTTGAAAATTTCTACTCTGGGAATTTGGAAAGCAAATATGACAGAGCACACAAATTAGAGAAGCTCCAAAAATACAGTCCAACTGTTTTTCCTTTTCCAAGTTTGTCATGGTTTCATTAGGGTTTCATTGCCATTTCTCCCCACCCCTCATTTCAGTAAGCTCACTATGAAAAGACCGCAGTTAAAAACATATTACTTCAACTACGTTTGCAGAACTATTGGAATAATAATCTGTAGGTGAGAAGTGAAAATACGCCAGATTGTCATTGCAAAGTTAAGAGAAAATATTGGGCAAAACAAAGCAATGATTCAGATTTCTGCTATGAAAAAGGCATGCCAGTTTCCTCAAGTCCTTCTCCTTTATTTATCAAAACCAGCAGGTGGAACCCTAGAATTATCTGTGGAAGATACAGGGTTAAAAATCTTAGTCAATTTCAGATTTTTGCTTTGGGTCCTATTGCTCTGTCAGCATAGCCAGTTTTTATCACTTCTTTGCCTAGAATTTACCTCTTTTATGAAGCACGCTATTATCTAAAGTCTTTCCTTCCTCCACATCCAAACAACCTCTCTTCTCATGTTCTGGGGAAAAAAGGCGAAAGGAAATTTAAATTAGAGTAATTGAACGATGAAAATCATTTTACTATTTCTACAATTCTAATTGACGCACCATGAAGCAGAAAACAAGAGCTCTCTATTCACATGATTGTTTATAAAAATTATTACCACTTCCTATAGTGAATCACTGTCAGACTTATAAAATCGATTTATTTTGAGTTCCCCTTCCACTGTGGCTTGTCAAAGGAAATTCATCATGTTTGATTCCTAACTTTTATCCTAACCATTCCACTCCATATTCCACCTATTGACATCAAAGCACAGCAACACCTGTTCCATTTTTAAAATTACTTTTAAGTAAATTATTTTTATATTCTTTGGTTGCTTGAGGACCTGAAAGTCATGAGATGGTGAAGGTTTCTTTTCATGTTATCCTTGCACTTACAACACATTGAGGTAACTGGGCCGAGATGTAGTCAGTGAACTCCATGGTGGGATGAGGAGTAGAACCTTCATCTCTTGAATCTAGCCCAGCATCTTAAGCACAGATTGAAGCCTGCAGTTTGTTCAGCCTCTGAAACATTTCAAAATTTTGCAAACTTGAGTGACAGAAAAAAAAAAAAAATTGGGGACAGAATAAGGGCACTGAGAAACAAGTGAAAATTATCAGGAAGGAGGCTGGACTAGAAAATAGAGAAATGATCTTAGAAAAATGTAAGGGGAAATCACTTCCATATTGTTGCTGACTTATTCATGATTTTGTCCATGAAATCCCCAGGAGCTGAGTTTGATTGGAGGAAATATTTACTTTGGAGAGACCAAAATCAGCCAAATATTCAGTAGCCCCAAGATTTAAATTGGTAGATGGAAAAAATAAAGTGGAAAAATAAGGTAATATACAATAAAAGCATCAGTATATAAAAATGGAAGGAAGGCCATAACATGTTACCCTCTTTTTAAGAGCAATACTGAAAGACCAAAAGGCAAAGGTTTTGTTGTTTATACTGTAGCTACAACATATATACAGTAGGACTTTACCAAAGGGAAAATGTTGGGCTGGAGAAGCTTATAATATAAATGGAAAGGGAGAGGCAATGATGGATAACTACAAACAAACCCACAACATGTATTTAGGTTTTATGTCTTTTGGAACTTGGGAGAAATCCAATGCATAATGGAAAAAAGTAGGTTAGAGTTCTGAGTTGTGTTTGTTGTGAGTAAACATGCATGACAAAGAACACTTTGGAAGCATTTCAATTATGAATAGCCCCATTCCCTGAAAGGTACTAGGAACTGTGTATAAATTCACATAAAGACTTTGATTGGTTTGCAATTTAAGAAACTCAATATTCACAGAAATGAGAATTGAGAGTACATTCTGCCCAATATTTCCCAGTACAGCAACAGAATCTGAACCTCCATTTGTTGTAGTCTCTTATAATGGGTAGATCAATGAAGATGTCAACTCAGGGTGCAACAGCTGTGACAAAAGGCAAATTCTTTGCTAGGCATCATTAGGAAAGGAATTGAAAATAAACGTGCCAACACTGTCATGCCCTTCTAGAAAACTATGATAGCCCACATCTGGAGTATCGTGTATAGTTCTGGTTGCCACATTTGAAAAAGGATTTAACAGTAATTGGAAAAGTGCAGGAGAAGGCAATCAAAATTACCAAGGGACTCAGATATGCTCCCTACCAGAAAAGGCTAGGATTTGTTAGCTTGGAAACAAAACTAAGGTGAGAAAGTATAATTGAGAAGTATAAAGTCATGCATGGCATGGAGAAAGTAGACAGGCAGAAGATGTTCTCCTTCTTCCAAATAAGCTAATTGGAAGAAACTTGAAAGATAAAGTACTTCACACCATGCATAATTAACTTGTTGAATAAGTTGTAAGGCCACTTGAATAGGGTTGAATAAATTTATGGAGGACATATCTGTCAAGAAACATTAGTCTTAGGACTCAGTTACCTCAAGGAAGGGGCAACATGTGCCCATGTTACCATTGTAAGGGGAAAATGAGAGCAGGCCCTTTGTCACTTGTAAGCACTCCAGACACATCTAACTGGCCATCATGAGAAACAAAGATGCTGAAGTAATATGGGTCTGACCTGATCCAGCCAGTCTATTTTTATATTACAACCCAATCTTAAGGTTATATACCATGAATTTCCATTTCATTCCATTTATTTCCAATTAATAACTTTGCAATTTTAGGATCTCTTATAAAATAAATCCAAACCCACGTTATACTTTCATGTGTTGTGTTCTACTTTGGACTAAGAAAATAAAATGACAGTGACCTTGTGTGCAGAATGATTTTTCTTTCTCTTTGGTCCTTTGTCTCCTTGTAAAATGAAACCAAGCTCATTCTTTTGATGAGGAGATGACCACATGAATCATTGAAGCAGTCTTCAATAAATTAACTCTCCAATGTCATTAGTCATCATATGTCAGAATGGCAAGAACTAGCAAATCTAAAGAGTTTGCTGGGTAAAGCAAGGTGAGGACAGAAAGGGCCTCTGTTTCCAAGTTCTTACATTGCTGTTTTAGCAAAGGAGACTTCAACAGTCTATAATGAGGAAGGGACTATTAGAAGCCTATTGCTCTCCTGTTTTTATGCTCAAAGTTCATCAAAGAGACAATCAGCAATGGATGGATTGAGAAATTCATCAGTGTAGTTTTTGTCCCATTCAAAAAAAAATTCTACACCCAAACAACAAAACAAAAAACAAACAAAAACCCAAAGGAATTCTAAGTCTAACCCCTCTTATTAATACCCAAGGCTCAGTTAACCCTAATAGAAGGATTGTAGATATCGATGACCCATCAATGACCCAGGTAATTCTTTATATATCTCCTAGTTCTGAATTAACTATTGAAGGGTCTGTTATTAACTGTTGCATGTTTCAGCTATTCTTATTGCAGCCTTCCATTTAGATCAGGGTTTTTGTGTTGTTGTTTTGCATTGTTTGTTTGTGTTTTAGTATTGCTTACTATTTTCAGAATTAAAATGACATGTCTCTAAAAAGTCTTCGGGAGCTGTTTAGAGAGGCGGCGGGAACCCTTCCATTACAACCCAGTTCACATACCTCATGTTGATGCAAAGTTCAATTTCTTGATGCTAGCCCATCTCAGGTATTGGCAAACGTAGAAGAAATATTTGTTTTCTTTTGCTGCTCTGTAGATAAATAAATGCATGTTCACAGATGGTAGAGTGCAAATATTTCAGCCTTTGTGATAAACATGATAATTCATGCACATGATAATCATTGAAGGTATTCAAAAGGCCAATGAATCCTAGTCAACAGAAGTAGGCAATGGATTAATCTTGCCTGGGGCAGCATGTGTTATAAGACTATCCTTGTTTCTCACATTTTCTTGCTCTATATTGTCTCCCTTGAGAAGTCCATCATGCTGGGAAAGGAGGAAGGAAAGAGAAGAAGGGGATGTCCAGCAGCAACCGAGATGGACTCAGTTACAGCAGTGATGGCCGTACCATTGGAAGACTTGAAGGGCCAAGCTGGACACAGACCCTCCTGTAGAAAATCTATTTGTGTGGTCACTAATCAATCAAGGTTCAATTCACCATGGAGCTAAACTCCACTCCAGGGGACTATTTGCACACATCCATTTGCTTTCTCTGCGACATTTCTGCAAGCATCTCATCAGTGCCGTCTTTCACATCACAGCTGATTCTAGCACTGCTGGATTTCCTCGTGGTCTCTGATTCATTCATTTCATTCAGAAATCATTCCTAGTTATAGTTGCCCTGCAAATTGAAGCTGGTGGCTCTGTTACACTCTGCTAAAAGATTACTCTCATTTAAACATGCCATCAGTCAGAAGCTTGGTGGATTTTTCCTGAGAAGCACTATCACGTGTAAATGCATTGTGCTAAACAGTACCATATCAAAAAAAAAAAAAAAGTTCCCCATGTTTTTTCGTTTGTTTTGTTTTTTAAGCAATGCTTCTTAAAATCATTCATTAGCAGTCAGTTTTGCAAATCTCATTTATTAGCTAAAGGTCATTAGGTGTCCAAGCATATCTTGCTTTATAATTAGCTTTAATTACAAAAAGATGTTTTAATTTGAATTGCCTTTGCTGTTACTCCAAATACCATCTTCACCTAATACAAGATAGACATTATTTTATAAGTAAACATTATTGCTCTGTTTACTTTCAGAACGATGAACACTTAAATATGCCTGTACTTAGAGGATATAGCAATCATATATTTATAAAATAGCTTTCCAATTTAATTGTAGTATGAACACTGAAATCAATAGGACTTAAGATAGCCAAAATCCTATTGACAAATTCTGTTGAGTTCAATAGAACTAGTATATGGCAACTATGTTACAATCCGACCCACTGTTTTTCTGAAGCATGACAGCATAATCATTAACGGACCAAGCATAATACGGCAAAATCTATGAAGCATGGGTGACTTGGAAATTAGGCAGCTTATAGACTTCTTCCCAAAATGCTAATTGGGTAGAAGTGCAAAATCAGATGGGTAACTTCTTTCAGACTTGCAGAGTTGCCTGGAAGCTGCAAGTCATAACAGGTTAGATTTGAAGGCATAAAGATCAAATTTTTCAAGCATCCCTAATGAAGGATGCTTAAGTAGTGTGCCCTTGAGCCAAGCTCAACTTCTGATGAGCCTGAATGCATATCCATATAGTTTTCTTGACAACACTACAAAGACTGGTTGTTTGTTACTGCCTTCTTCCGAGATATATTTCTTTCCCAATCTCCTTGTTTAGCTGGCAGTCCTGGGACTTGCTGATACTCACCCACTGAAGTCCTATCAAGGCGCAATCCTTCTCAGCTTCCATGTCCAGAAAGTGACCTGGGACTGCCACCTGTTGAGACTGTGAGACCTTGTGCCTTAATTTTACCAGAACTGGTATTAATCCTGCCTGTCTGTCTATCAAGAAGACAAGGAGGAGCAGGAAAGGGAAAGGGAGAGGAAAGAAGAAAAGAACGTGAGGAAGCTTTAGAATGGAACAGACAGTGGAAATTGGAAAGGATTGACCACTTCTCAAATCATCAGTTTATCTCCCCCTCTCCTTTGGTTTTCTGCCTTTGTCTTACTCTTATCTTTACCATGGACGCTTCCTTTTAAAGTTGTGGCTGCCTCTTGAGTGATTGCTTTCTTTTTCAGGTAGACTTTACCTTCTGAAGATGATGGTTTACTATAGCATTTGTGAAATCCTCAAGGTATGCAGTTAGCAAGTCCATAGCATAAACTCCAAACTTCTCTAGGGAGATTACAGTTTTCCATGATGGTGAACTAACTGCAGAAGCAGCTCCAGAAGTGCAGCTCTATTAATGTCCAAGATTCAAAAATCAAAATCAGATCAAATGCTGGACTACTAAAATCAAATGTTAAATCCTTAGGAAGAGGATAATGTTAAGCTAATATTTGCAAAGATCAAAAGGATCAGAAGGGGTAATGGCCAAAAGGAAGAAAAACAAGACATTTGCGGATTTTCAAATTAAATCATATATGAATTAATCCCTACAGCTTTCAGATGCAGTAAGCCTTTTCTTGGTGACCATCATCAACAAAAATGATCCTGGCTTAATAAAGAAGTGCACTTACTAATGTATTTAACACTAGATTTGAGAGAAGGATTTGAAAGGCAGGGAAAAAAAGATCTGATCTCTAATAGCCTACAATAAAAAGTGATTAACAAAGACAAACAAATGAACAAACCTTGACAAGGATACTTTATCTTGTACAAAAGACTGCAAAAGAGGGACTTGTATTGAGTTCATGAAAGCCTGAAAATCATTAGGACATTGTGGTTCTAAAGAGAAAGAAATGTAGATTATTTTTTTGGGGGGGGGGGGAAAAAAAAAAAAGAAAAAATGAGGTTTATGGTGTTTAGAGAGAATAAACACA